ACGATCATCATGATGACGATGGTTTTATGAATTATTGTTATAGAAAAAGATATTTGTTCAGTAAAATAGTAAAGATTTGCCCCGGGGTATTTCAAGTATTTTATCCCGGGGCAAGGGGTGAAAAAATCGCTAAAATACCCCGGGGTGGACACACTAATGATAACTAGACAAGTAAAATAGTTACCTATTTTCTATTTTTAATTTCGGTGCCTATAACTTACTTTTCAATTACTATGGTTAAAATGAAATGTGTGTTACCGCACTAATCGAGTATTATGCACGCACTAATCGAATATTGGTTATAAAAAAATTTAAGCGCACTAAACGAAAACGCATTAATCGAGGGATCCCTGTATTTCTAATTATTATCTTGACCAATCGTTTAGAAAGATTAATAACGACATACGAATTCTTAATTGGAAGAATACGTTAAAAGTACGACACATGGAAATTTCCCGCTGCAAATAGACTAATGGCAATATAACGTATTTATGCATGCTGCTATCTACTGGTGTAGCTCAGTAATAATTCGTTCTAAAGAAAAACCTTAAACATGTTTCAATTTAGATATTTCATTCTTTTTATCGACCCAGTGCTATATTTTAAAGAAGCACTCTCTGGTTCAAAATTTCGTAACCTAGCCACCAATAGTTGTTTAGTTATGTAAGAACAAACTGTTATAACCAAACAACAAGTTATTGTACCCGATTCTGATCAAGACTCGAAAACACTGTCCAAAAATGTGTGGTTGCGTATTAATACTGTTAATGACGTAAGTCGCATTGCGACTGATGTAAATACACACTGTTTTTTGATTTGTTAAGCTACTATTTAATTTAACAATTTTGTTCGAAACATTAATGCTCAATCACGAGATATCCAGCAAAAGTAAATACATGTGAGATTGCTTAACTCTTAGTCACGCACCGATCGGTATTTATTCCAAGCAAGTTTCCTCGTCAATAAATGAGGGAGGAAGAAAAACGATGTTCCACATGCACTTGCTTAAAAACTCATGATAGTAATAATGATAACTAAGTCACTGATTAGTTGGAAGTTGTTTTCACTGTTATTTACACGCAAAGTACGACTTGGATATACAAGTTTATTATAACACCAATAATGTACCTTGTTTGTGAAAAAGGTTTCCATGTCATTAAACACAAATTACACAATGGGTTATTTATGCTGTGCTCACCGCGGGTATCGAACCATAGACTTCTCGCTGTCCCACCGGGGGACTGCTTGTAAAAAGGGCCTTACTAACGATTTCTCCGGTGTTAAACTTTAGCTTCTCTCGAATAGCTAAAAATAAATCGTATTTCTTTTCACAAAATTTAAGATTTTGCTTAATTAAAGAATATTGTTATAACGTGTAAAGTTATTTTAAAAAATACAATTTATATAGATAGTCAAACGCATTGTCTTATGGAATTGTTCAAGTGGAAGATGAAGGGAATACACTAAAAAACCCTAATTTTTCATATAACATTTTATCTAAAATGTACTTACCAAATATTGTGGATCAAACTCTTATTCGTAGATGGTTGAGTAATATTAATGTTTTAATAAATCGAATTACAGTTACAGTTGTTCTATGACCCCCTGTAGTGCTCCTTGCTCCTCCCTCTTTAAAAACCCCTTGACCCTCCATTTCTCATATACTCCCAAACGACTGAAATGGTATTGTTAAACAATAAATATTCAGGTGAAAACAAGTGTTGTAATAAATGTAAACCTTTTCTTCTCATAGTTTATTTAATAGTTATTTTAATAACGTACCTTCTCCTTTATGAACTTTTTCCTTGATAATTTTCTCTTAAATAATACTAGTGCTAGTAAATAAATCTTTATTCTGAATTAATGAAAGATACTGTATCACTGACAAAACTGTGTTCAAGAAAATTACACAAGAAACAGTAGAAAACCAAAAATGTTTTTATTAAATCATGTAAAACTGGTATATAATGAAAAGAAAAAACTTACTGAGGCGTTTTTTTCTGGTTCTCTTGCCAATCCTAGAAACATAAAAAACACTAGGTGTAGTAATAAAAAGACACACACACATATATATATATATATATATGATGGATCTAACAGTTCATCACTGAGATTTAAGTTTCACATAAGAGCTGTTTTCTACATTCTACAACATTTAATATTATCATATTTATGCATTTTATTTAATATTATCCTAAAGACTATGATGAAATATAACACACAAAGGAATTGATCACAAGTTTCTGTATATATTATTCTAAGTAGGTCAAAATGTCTTTTATTTAAAAGATAATTTATTGATTATAAAAATGTTTTGAAGACCTTTTTAAAATTATATTTGTCTTTTGAATTCCTAATACAACAAGTTCTTAAAGAAGATTACATATCACACACTGAAAGCCAGAGTATCTAATTTATTACATTTGAATAGTTTTTGTAAATTTTAGATACTACTAACACTTCGAATAGAAACAAAACACCTGATGAACTTGTATTTAGAGAAAAATATATTCTGCTTTAACTTTCTTTTAATAATCGAATCAGTTTATAGTTTAAGAGCACAGATTTATGAAAAATGTGCACGTGCAGACGGGAAGTTGTCACACATACGTCAACATTTAATTATTATTCACACGTATTCTAATAGAACTACAGTACATAGTGTTTTTCTTTTGGAATCAAGTTTTAATTTTTTATGTCTTGTAAAATAACAAGTACAAATGATTGCATAAAGAACAAGTACATTCAATACAATTTATTATATAAAAAAATAGGCTTCACTACATAGTGAACCAATATTATCTTGCAAAACAGTATGGACTTTTACGAAATTCCCTACACGCTATTTGTACATTTCAATCATCTTGAATGACAGCATTTACAAACATTGATTTAACTACTTATCCATTAAGCTTGCTTCCAGCCTCACGTTTTTGTAAGACATCTCTTTTCCAGTTTGTTCACCAATGCTTAGAAATACTTTGACTGTTGATTTATTAAGCCATGCTTCTGGTAAATGTCTCAGCTTAATTATATAATTTGCTTGTATTCATCTTCACATAACTTCCTCTTTCATTGTAATATTTCAGTATCTGCTTCACTTCAATTTCAGTTTTATAATACAAGTCATTTGATATTTTGATTTTTTTGGCAATTCTTTTGTTTTTCCTTATATTAAGTATTTTCAATAACAGTGCGGTTTCCTTAATCTGCTGATATCTAATACTGACGTACATTTGAAATTCTTTATTTGTTAAGTTTTGTGATTTTCAGTTTTTAAATGTTATAATTTTCCTATACTGAAAATGTACTTCCTACAGATAATTACCTCCTGTAACATAAAGTTATTCTCGTTCAGTGCTGCCTTCTATATGTAAAAATTTCTTTTCGTATGCCAAAAGCCTCGAGTTCCCATGTACCCTACGATGAACATGGTTCAACTGCGTCTGGCACATAAATCATCATGCTATAACACTCCAAAAATAGGAGTGCGACACGCCCACCTGACTCCCTCTATCAGATTCTACCAGACTATTAATTCGAGTTTTGGCAGAAAATTGAAGCACCAGATTTTAGTGGGGAGGAAGGGTGGGAAGTGGTACAGCAGGTAAATATCTATCAAAATACATTTTCAGTGTAGGAAAATTATAACTTCGATATGGTTCATTACCTCCTCTCAAATAAATAGCTAGAATCCAACACTGAATAGGTGGAGGGACCAGTGCAAGGTAAAGAAATAATTATTCTTTGAAAGCAGCCAAATAACCCTCTAAAAGAGAAGAGGAACATATGTAGGAGATCACATCACTTCTGTACCAGGTGTACTCTTTGCCCCGTGAGGAAAGAGGTGACATAGACATGGGTGGAACACATCCAAAAGGAAGAGAACAACGGTTGGATAGGGATCCAAACCACCCAATTCTGAATCCTAATTCCTTAGATGACTATAATGTAGGTGAGAGGAAAAGGATGTGTCCCAAGGTGTAGTGTGGCTAGGGAGCAACTGATTGTACACAGTAACTCAACTGGATCTAAAACCAAGGCACCAGGAACCAACATCCATGTGGGAGTAGGAAAGAGGATCATATTGATGGCAAGTCAACTGTAATCAAAAACTCAGCCACTAGGTGATGTAGGAAAGAGAATCATACTGTCTTCACCTCAAGTTCAGTAGACCAGAGGGATATATCAGACCCAGCTCACGTTCCCTATTAGTGGGTGAACAATTCAACGCTTGGCGAATTCTGCTTCACAATGATAGGAAGAGCCGACATCGAAGGATCAAAAAGCGACGTTGCTATGAACGCTTGGCCGCCAAAGCCAGTTATCCCTGTGGTAACTTTTCTGATACCTCTTGCTTAAAACTCCTAAAGTCAAAAGGATCGATAGGCCCCGCTTTCGCGGTCCGTATTCATACTGAAAATCAAGATCAAGCAAGCTTTTGCCCTTTTGCTCTAACAGTGAAAGTAAATTAGAATTAAATGTAAAAATACAGCGAGTTAAAACCAAAATATGTCGATAAAAGATTTATATACAATTAAAAAGACCTATAGTGCGTAAAAATTAAAAATACAATCTAGTCGAACAGTGTCACCATTACCAATGACACTGTCCTACGTCAGGGGTAAACTCTTAGAAAATGCCTGTCTAAAATGGTGCCGCCGCTCACGGTTGTAACAATGGCACGACAGTAAAATGTAGGCTATTGTGACTTGAGTGTCACAATGACTACACCTTGGTGGGCCAATACCAGATAAAAGAAAACAATGGGTTAAAAACTGTGATTAATTAATAACCTTGCCAGGACAACTTCCTCCTTCTGATCCTTACGGAAGCAAGGTGGCCAAAGACCAACAGAAGGTTTGATCTGGAAAAGCTTGTTATGACGCTGCTCATCCCAAGTCGATGGCCAACTGGCACGAAACTGTGCCTTGAAGACAGGACCATAGTCCATGTACAGTACAGGCATGGCCGTAACGGCACCAGAGCAGACGGACTTAGCTGCAGTGTCAGCAATCTCGTTCCCGTGAATACCGACATGGTCAGGTATCCAAAAAAAATCAGAAAATTGGGCCAGTCGTTGTTGAACATCGACAACAGGGTGAGAACTAACGTTAAGCGATTCCAGGGCCAGAAGAGAAACAGTGTAAATAGTACAATTAATGTACTGCATAGCTTCTACATAATCCAGGGCAAGAGAAATAACATACAACTTGGCAGTGAACACAGAAATTGTAGAGGGGATCCTGCGAGCAACTACCGAGCCACAGCACACCATGGCAGAACCTACAGAGTCACCCGATTGCGAACCATCCGTGTAAATAAGAAGAGAAAAATGGCTCAAAAGATGTTCAGCAAAAAGAAGATGGAACTTCCAATCAGGAGTATCCGCCTTCCTCAGATGACTCAAGGAAAAGTCACAGGAAGGGATGGTAATAAGCCATAGTGGAATGGGCTGATCATTGGGGACAGCAATGTCATCCAATGCCACACCCAATTCAGCCAGTTGTGCCTGGATACGAAGGTCAAAGGGAGGAATAGCAAACAGTCTGTTCTGAAAGAGCATTGCCCACCAAGGAAGAAAGACACAATCCAAGGTGGGATGCTGTGGTAAGGATCGAAACTTGGTAGCATATTGTAAAGAAAGTTGCAAATGATGGAGGTGAATAGGAGGTTCGTGTACAAACTCTGGACTGGAGAAGTGCGAAAAGCCCCAGTGCAGAGCCGAAGCCCCAGATGGTGAATGGGGTCCAGCATCTTCAAGGCCAAGGTTCTGGCAGAACCATAGTCCAGTATGAATCAAATCAGGGCATGATAGATCCTGAGCATAGAACATCGATCTGCTCCCCTAAAGTTGGAAGAGAGGACACAGAGGATGTTCAAAGCCCTTGCACACTTGATATGTAGCTGCTTGATGTGTGGAATGAAGCTAAGCTTATGGTCAAAAATAAACCCCAAGAACTTTGCCTCAGGGACCACACAAATAACTATATCGTTGAGACAGAGATTGGGGTGGAGACCCCATTGGCAGCAAAAATGCATGCAATCGATTTTGAAAAAGAAAATTTAAAACCGTTTGCAGTGGTCCATGTCAACAACCAATTGAGGGCAATCTGAAGTTGCTGCTCAATAAACCTCATGTTCAACGACTGACACGGACGTGGAAGTCATCGACATAGAGCGCATTTGCAACAATCGAAAGATTATTATTGATGGCATTAATTTTAACACTAAAAAGTGTGACACTCAATACACAGCCCTGAGGGGCTCCAAGTTCCTGTGGAAAGGAACATGAAAGAGTTACAGCCACATGGACTTGGAATAGCCTGTTTAGTAAAACGTTTTGAATAAAAATGGGTAAATGGCCATGCCACCCACAGGAGAGGAGGTCCTGCAAAATTCCATACCTCCACATAGTGTCATAAGCCTTCTCAAGATCGAAGAGCAAAGAAACAAGGTGTTCTTTCTTGAGAAAGGATTTCCTTATCGATGTTTCAAGTTGAATCAGATGGTCCATGGTGGAGCGCTGTCAACAGAACCCACACTGGGTGGGTAAGAGGAGCGTATTCAATTCCAGGAATGAAACAAGACGAGCATTACCAATCTTCTCTAGGACCTTACAAAGATAACTAGTCAAAGCTATGGGATGATAAATAGAAGGAATATTGGGATCCTTCCCAGGTTTAGAGAAAGGGAGGACAATAGCCTGGCGCCAAGCATCAGGAAAAACATGCTCCTGCCAGATCTGGTTAAAAATAACCAGAAGAATAGCAAGAGAGGCAGGAGAGAGATGGTGCAACATCTCATAATGAACATCATCAGGTCCAACCAATGTACTACCAGACCAATGAAGAGCAAGTTTGAGTTCCACCAGTGTAAAGGGGCGATTATAATCAAAGAGATGATTGGCCCAAAAGGAAAGAGGTGATCGCTCTTCCTGAGACTTGATGGCCAAGAAGGCAGGGGAAGAAACAGAAGTGCTAGAAGCAT